ATCTGTAAATGAAGATGAAGTGGCTTACGCGCCTACTTCTGCTCTTGGAACAGCAGGTTCACTCCTTTCTTATCTAGTCAATTGGCCTATCGATCCTGAGCCGATCGGTAGGTAAGGGAAAGTTGATTCTAGCCCCCCTTTCCAATGTGAGGAGGCAAGGCGGTAAAGCGTTACCTTTCTACCCTATCCCTATCTTTATAGTTGCTTCGCTCCTGTACTGGATTATCCCTGAAAGTGAATGTTCCAGTGAAAGCAGAATCCCAATATGCGTGAGTTAGAGAAGGAAGTGCCAGTTTTGACAGTATCAATCCCTCAGTATCCATGATAGGGTTTAGTGTAAGCAGCCATCTTTGTTGCCATTCCCAGCTATTCTTTATTTGGTTTCAGCCCATGCGAGAGCCAGGAAGTTAAAAAGCAAGGGAAGGGTGTGCTAGCCAAGACGAGTCTCCACTGTTAGCCAAAACGCTAATCTCTTCTAAGCCCTTACCCTGCTAACTCTTTGAAAGAAAGTAAACCTCTTTCAGACTTTTATATAGGAGAAAGATGAATTGTCTCATCCCAATGGATAAGGCCTATTCCCTGCTCGTAAATTAACGGTTTAAGTTCCTTTATTTCTTCTGCTTCTGACTGTCACAAGCACAAGCCATTCTTCCACTCTATGATTAGGATATGATTCACTTTCAAACTGAACAGGGCATTCTATCTGATCTTCCGAAAGATCTCCTTCTTGCTAACATTCGGAAAAGGAAGAGCATATTCTAACCCGCGTAGAATGAAGACTTGTCTTACCGCATACCAGTTGCATGTGGGAAGACCAGAAGCGGGGTGAAGAATAAATAATGGGCGGACGATCACATCGTCCGATAGCTAAATGGATGGTACTTGGCTAACCCGAATCTCTTCACTCCTCATCTCACTCACTTGAAGACCGACCGAATGTGGACATTAGCAGCGCGTAGTCCTTCACCACAGAACTCCCTCAGCTTACTTGCTTCCTTAAGCCAAAAGCACCAAGAGTAGCTACTCCGACAAGAGCAGAAAAGGCACCAACATCGGTGACTAGTAGGGATTCCACCAGTTCCAGTTCAGGCATCATCCTAATCATCAGATAGGGAAGCCGGGATCCTCTACTTAATTCCCGGAAGTGAAAGAACTCTCCTTTATTTCCATTTTTTAGGAAGTTGCTTGCTCACTCACCTCACTTTATTTTTAGTTCGAAAAGAGCTAATTCGAATCTCGATCTCTGGAATCGAAACCAAGACCAACGAGCCCCGTACTCCTAAGTTGGCAAGCGAAAGACTTACGACTTTGAATTGAGGTAGAATCCTAAGGAAGCTCTTTCAAGTCCTCTGGGCACAAAGGAACTACACACTAAATCAGTGTATCTCTTTAGTGATCAGTCTTTTCTGCTCTTAATAGAGAGCGCAGTTCCAGCATCATCCTAATCAGACTATTGCTCGTACCTAATCACTGCTTAAACCCTCGGTGAAACTGGCTTAAGCCCGACTACAGAGCCTATCTATATAGGGATATACGTGAACCAAAGCACATTATAACTCCCTTTGGCACAAAATAAAGTCTGCTATCAAATCAAAATCGTCTTCTGTGTGGGATGCCAGGTTGTGAATTGTAAACTCTCCGTTCCTTCTTGACTCGCCTTCAGTCTTGATGGCTGCTAGATTCCTAAACAGGATTTCTGTTCTATGAGGTAAAGGCCCGGCCGCACGAAGCAAGAGGAAATAGGTATAGGCTGGATCAATAAAAGAAAGATAACGAAAGTGTAAAAGATTCCAATCGGGCTGGCTCAGAAGGAAGGTGGCGGCGAGGAAGGGTATTTAGAATCTCGTAGCATAGCACGGGACCGTGCCAAGCTGTAAGCATAGCGAGTTAGGTATGGGCTTTCTTTTCACTACCAGAATAAGCAGTTGGCCTATTGTTGATCAAAGTCTGGGTTGGCGGTCCCTAGTTATAGATAGGCTTTCGCCTTCCTTTTTCCGTCCAACGAGGATTTTAGTGTTTGGAGAATTCTTCCTATTTGACCCGATGCCGTACCCTTCATGTGTTCATGATACAGGGCCGGGGTACATCTTCCACAAAAACAATCGACTACGAGGATTGATAAGTTGTTCATTTGATAACCTTCACCTCTATCTACACAGTTTCATTTCTACGTCTTCGACGAGCAAGACTTCACTGCTGACATAGGGTGAGGTTTCAACAGGGCAAGCGGAGATTCTCCAACCTGCGGTCAGCTATGATATACTAAACTTCTTCTTTTCACCTCCCTCTTCGATCGATCCGGAAGACGTTCCCTTAGCAGTTGACATCTCAACAGAGTCCTCCGGTCGAGTTGGAAAACAACCCTTGAGACCTACGAGCTCCTAAAGCAAAGAAAGAAATAGACAGACTTAGACGAGGGCATCTTGAACCCCTCTCCCTATGGTCCGGTCGAGTTAGCCCATGACCTCAAGATCAAGAAGAGCCAGCCATACATAGAAGACAAGGGAAGACCTTGCTCGACCAAATGAGCGTAGCAGCAGCATCATGAGATAGAACCCGGTCCTGTCGTCCCCCGGCTGTCCATCTGTGGAACATGGGGCTGAAGACCTCTAGAGTACCTACTAGAAGAAAGACAGAACCACTTGGTTTGGTTGGCTAGGGGGAAAAAAGCCTTAGGAGGAAGAAGCAGATGGAAGACAGGGTCACTTGTGAAAGAACTAGCCGAAGGGGGGACGACCATCACAGTTGGGGCGGTGGATGACAGGCTGGCTAGCTCACCAAGAACATCAGGAGAGGTTGGGGAAGACTTGGCTGCGGCAAGTCAAGGAGAGGTTAGGTCAAGGGATTTCAGACAGAAGTCCCATCAATCAATCAGAATAAAAGGATGTTCCAGGAAAGAGGGGAACAAGGATATCCAAAAGAATAGGCCTTGAAGGAAGGCATGAATGAGGGGAGACCGGTCTAAGGGCAACAAAACAAGCTATGCTACAAGGTTTAATCAGTCCACTAAGGGATGACCTCTTCTACATGATTTCAGCGAAGTGTTCAAGTCAAGGCCCTAGACTAACTACAAAGGGCGATCAAAGAAAAGAAGACTTGAAAGAAAAGCCTTCTATCCCACAGCTAAGGCATCCATCCAATACAGATAGAGCGTCATATAAAATGACTCTATCCTTTGGAAACCACCTATTCCTCTCATCGACTACCTTCACTAGGGTTAAGATTCATGGTTTTCTAAGGGCGGCCCATTAGCTTCCTTTGATGGAGCAAGGGATTTCGTCTCTTTCCTTCTGGGCCAGGAATGGAAGTTGTCGTTAAGCTTCTTTGGATCAATCGATAGTGTGCTTATCGCTCTACTTCGCTTGATTCTCATGCCAGGTGTGGTTTTGGGACTGGACTCGTCGCTCAGCTTTAGGCCTTATTAGCTTCATTTCTGAAGTGAGCATGAAGTCCGAATTGAATAGATACTGAGAAAGCGTCTTTCGTGATTAAAGTTGCAAGTTCGGATTCAGGATTGAGAAAGAAATCAGCAAAGCGCAGCTGGAGCTTAATCTATTATAGCGTAGGGTAGGCTCTTTGGATAGATTGACTGGCTTAAGCCGATGAACCAGCTTCTACCACTGACGAGCTAATTCGGACTATGCCTAACTAGAGGAAGAGGAAGAAAATCACCTGGTCCGAATCTTGGCTCGGCATCTTTTAGGGAATCAAATATCTGGTAAGAAAGGGCGAGTCGGCTACTCGAAGCGGAGAAGCAAGAGCTCACTCGACCCATAGGAATAGGGAGGAAGTTTCATTCCAAAACTGCTCTTAGTTTGAGCTAGGAGATGGGACAATACGCTGTTAGTTTGAGCTAGGAGTTTCAAACTGAGATTTTACTTTATAGTAAAAAGGGGTTTACCAGATCGAAATAATCCTGTAGCAAACGGGATTGATTCCACTTCCTTGTTAAGTACGTCCCTCTTCTCTCTTGCCGATTCCGAACTCCAGGAGGAGAGTAGCTCAGCCGACTAAAGCTAAAAGCAGAGTTGGAGCTTGGCAATGCAGTTGATCTTCTTGCAGCTGAGAGAGATGCTGGCATTGAATGAAGCTGATTCCCCCGTACTACCAATAAATATTTCCAATAGTTAGAATCCTTATTACTAGAACTGGCTCTAAGAGACCTGCTGTAACCGTTATTGGGGAACTGCTACCGTAATCCGGACTACATATTCCACTAGGCTAGTTCTTTATTACTTTATTTTTCTTTAAGGAGAAGCGGATCGATCCACTTTTCATTTATCAAAAACGTGACTCCCCTAAGCTAAGTAAACTGCACTGTCGGAAAGACAGCCTAGAGCGATCAGGCTTCCGGTCGAGGCATACTATCTAAGCTACTCTCCTAGTGGTTTTTTTTAACAGATCCACGCGCTCGATCTTATATATGTCACCTGCTTCACTTTTAAACCCCATATTCCCGCAAGCCATGTCGAGTTCACAACCTAGGGCAGAAAGCGAAAGGCTAGAATGATTTAAATAACGTACAAACGCGAAGAAAACCTCCTGCAGTACCGGCCGTGTCCTTGGCTCTCACTCCCATGAATCAGATAGTGCCATACGTCCCACCACAACCGTCCGATCCTCTGATTCGGAATCGGAAGAGGAATCGGAAGGAGAAGATCAGTCGCCTTGAACGGGCAGTTAATAAGTTGAGTTGAGTAGGGACAACAAGTATGATGTTGCAGATCTTGATAATCTCTCCCTATACCCCAAAGTCAGGCTTCCGTACGGTTTTCAGTGGCCAAAGATAGATAAGTTAGTTATTGATAAAGCGGGTTTCGTCTCATTTTCCGGAAAGCCAGTCATACTATTCCACTTTAGCTAAGCTAATGATGAAAGAGGATCTGGATTTGTCTGCAGATGATGATGTCCACTCCTGGCTCGATGCGCTTAACGAAAGGGAACTCTCTAGATTAATAAAGAATTTCCTTAGTAATTAAGCAGCATCCTTTAAGTGAGTAGGGGTGCGCCGGACCGCCGACGAATAAGAGGTACCCCCACACCCCAGGCAGAGTTAGTGAGCCGTGTAATAGGCGACCATTTCGCGCGGTTCGGGGGGCACTTGAGTCAGCCGCCGGCGCATAAGTGAGTAGGGGCTGCGTCTTGACCCCTATCCAATTTTTGGGCCAATTCCCCCTTCGTACTACCAAAAAATGAGATTCTTGCCGAATCCGAGTTTGCTGCTCCAACCATTACCAAACTAATACCTATTCTGTTTAGTACTTCAGGTGCTTCTGTTGCGTATAATGTAAATCCCGTAGCGGATCAATTCCAACGAGCCTTTCAAACGAGTACTTTTAGTAATCGACTCTATAGCTTCTTCAATAAACGCTGGTTCTTCGATCAAGTTTTGAATGACTTTATAGTCAGATCGTTCCTGCGTTTCGGATATGAAGTCTCATTCGAAGCTTTAGACAAAGGTGCTATTGAGATATTGGGCCCTTATGGTATCTCGTACACATTCCGACGATTGGCCGAGCGGATAAGTCAACTTCAAAGTGGATTTGTTGTGCGAAGAGTGCGTTATGACCCGTGGCCGCCTGCCTGGTCTGGTGGGGGCGGCTCCTCCGTTGTGGGTAAACGGGAAACCCGACTCTACGAACCCGAGGAAAGGCTGCAAAGCAGTAGTAGGGGCGTTCAGACCGGAGCTTTTTGTAGTGCTAGCAGGAATGCAAGTGAATGAATCCCATCCCCTAGCGTACAGAAAAGAAGTGCTTACGCCCCTAATACTGATTAGAGATAGGGGCGCGCTAGCGCTTTAATAATAATAATAAATAATAGAAAAGGGGGCTGAGAAAAGCTTGCTGTCTACTTCTCGAGCCTTCACTGCCCCGTTCTTTAACTTCCCTTCTTTAGTCCGTCCACGAGGCTGTAAAAAGAGAGATAGGGGCGGCTATATAGCGGGAGTCGTTTCGGTTGTATGCCACGAGGTCCCTATGGACAAGGGGACAAGTGAATCATCGCTTTTGGGCGCAGGCAGCCCTCTACCATCCATCCCATTGCATTCCATCGTCTCGTATTGTACTGTACCGTACCAGACCAGATACATCTATTGAGTGAGAGAAAGGTAGCTTCTCTATATATATTCTTAAAATTTTATATTTATAGGGATCCCCAGATTCCCGTCACTACGGATTTTTTTTCTCTACCTAACTACATGGTAGTGGTCTAGGGAGCGCAATTGCTAGAGCACGGGAGAATGAAGAGTAATGATTTCAGCAAGAGCAGCCGGACGGACTACTATAGTGAGTCCAGTGACTACTAGAGTAGAGTTGAGTCAAAAGGTATGGTATAGCTGCCTGTCCGAGTCCGAGCGAGCCTCTGGGATCTCCTGTAAACCCCCATGATGTGGTAAAGTAAAGGGAGGATATTAGGGGAAGCAGTGAGTGGAGATTCCCCTGCAGAGAGCCGGATGAGGGGGGACCTTCACGTCCGGTTCGGAGGGCGGGGATATCCCGACCCTACTATCATTATGCCTTTGCAATCTTACTTGGTTCAACTCTATTTGTGACCTTTTCTCGTATGTGGGACTCTCTATCTTCTTGGGTAGATAATCGATCGTCTTTAATTTTTATAGTAAGTAGTTTTTATAATTATAAGTCAAGTCAATAATAATAAGAATCGAACTGGAGGAGCGAAAAGCCAGGATGGCTTGGTAAGCAAGCGACCTGTTATGTAGGCGCCAACTCCCATTTCTTTCTCTTCTTTCTTTTTTAATGACAGTTCATCAAAACAATTGCTAGATCGAGCACGCGACGCGCATAGTCTTAAGTTCAAGAGCGGGTTGTCTCCTCTTCAACATTTCTACTACTTCCTTGCCTCCCCTTTTCAGAGATCTCCTTGTTCTCTTCCCAGATTTTCCTCTATACTTTCGCCGCCTTCTTCATCATCTTGTTCCATCCTCATCAATGAGAGAAGGTGATCCCTCTCAATCGACGGTTCTGGCTACAGACTTTTATCAATCAGCAATGCTATTGATCAACCCCCTTTCTCTGCATTCCAGTTGCAGGCTCCCCTTTTCCTTTATTTATCTCTCTGTTGGATTGGACCGAGTGCTTTCCCTCTCCCGTGGTTGTCCTTCCTTACCTAAAGGCTGCTCTTCTTTTCTTCCGCGCCCTTACATGCGTGGAAGCTTAAACTGGGCTTGAAGGCAGAAAGTACAGAACTCTCAGGCTGGAAAAGGGAAGTGCTTCCCCGATTCAATTAAGGAATCTCATCTCTCTTCCAATAGAACAGGAAGTCTCAAGTCAGTAGCTTGTCCTTCTCGTGCTCTTCCAATCGCATGAGATGCAGCAACCCATTACGTTCAATCAGCCCCTGGCTTCTGTTGAATGAATAGAGGGTTCAGGTGAAGCAGGGGAGTCTATTGCTCTCTTTGTCAAAGCTATCAGACGCTAAGCCAATCTTACTTTTTGGAGCTACCTCTTTTTGTTGTCTCGAGAGGGGGAGAAGAAAGATATGACAGCCAAAGCTGAATGCTCACTTATTCACTAGATTCCAAAGCATGCCAAACCTAAATGCCATTAGCTGAATGCGTACTTCATGCCAAGCAAGCTTTCATTTAGTGAACGCTTTCAAGCCCAGTTGAAGATTTCCGAGCATTGCACTTAGTCAGTCCAGCTTGCAGCTGATTCAGCTACTTTGCCTTCCTACTAAAAAGAAAGAACTCCATCCTTTCCCGAAAAAAACTCCTACTCCTACCTTCGTACTACAAGCCAGCCTTTTACTCGAACTCCCGTTACCGCTGTCCCTATTGGCCTGTCTCCATTCCTTCGCCTTCTCCAAGATTGGATTTGACCCTTCGCTTTCCTTTAAAGAGCTGAGGTAATCCCTGAAGCCCCTCTGCTTGCAGTGGCAGTTGCCAGCGAGTAAGACAGTGAAAGCTATGGCTAGGGATTTTCTGCTTGACAAGGAGAGGAATCGTTTTGGACTTTAGCTTCTCCCTGGTATAGAATACAATACGATTACTTTACCCAGTTATCTTATCTTTCTTTAGAAGCAGTATAACCATATAGTAAGAAAGCGGGATTTTTGGTTGAAAATGGGAAAGATTGGCTGAATTCCTATCCCAACTGTCGAATCCAAAGCCTAGTCACTCCGCCTTTCACTCGTTTGCAAACAATAGAATGGCATGAAGGAGTGGAATCAAATCAGCAAGGGAACTAGTTGCCAGAGGCATTCGAGCAAAGGCTAAGCCCTTATTCTTGAAAAATAGGCATATGGGTGATAAGGAACTTGAAACAGGCATGGACAGAAGTATACCCCTCCTTTTGATGGTGAATGTCGGAAATCGTCTTCCCGGATCACCTTTGATGGACATGAAAAAGGATCTGCTAGGCTGTCTTACATGTCCCCAAAAGCAAAAGAGCTCCTTCCCTTCCCCATGTGGAAGAAGTTTACACACAGGGGGGCCTACAACCTCGACCTCAGTATGAAAAGCATCTAGTCATCGCCGATGATAAAGTAGCTGCCCTTTACACTAAGTATTTGGACCAACTGGGTGTAGAGGTATCAAGGTCGAAATCTTTAGTTTCGCCATTAGGCGCAGTGGAGTTTGCTAAACGGTTTCGGATTCGTAATATGACACGTGATGTGTCACCATTATCAATCCGAAAACTGGTAGCAGCTGCTTCTCCAATTGGGTGGTACTACTTTTGTCTCACCCATGACGGACCTCTTCGTCTATCCACAGAATTGCGGTTAGCCGGATTAGGTTTTAGAGCAGCATCAAGGCGTCTGATGAGTCCTAAACACGGTAAAACGTGCTAAAAGACTCTTGATAATGAGATTATACGGTAAATTACCGTGTGATCTGTGGTTACAAACCATTGTTGGTAATGTAGTTACATCTGAAATTAGAGGACGCTTTTCTTCGAGAACAGTACGTTCCAAAAGATCTAGTATTACCTCCCTCTGATTTATTTCTACACTCTGATCATGAGGAACTCATGGAGTATACTCTATATCAGGGTTGGATAAAGATGTATGTATCTTAAATACCGAAAATGGTACGCGGAAGTGGCATTGTCGCCTGGTGTGACTATACGGGATTTTATGGATGCACCATTGTATATAAGAACGTGGCACATACCTAAGGTAGATTTAGATACCTACAAGTATGGTGTCATCTTTCGATTATACGATGTTGTCTGTATGCTTCTTAAGGAAGATCTTAGATGTCTTCCTGTAGTTGATGTGACCACTCGACATGATGAGAGTTGTTGCCAACTCAACATCTCGTCTCGTGTTGATGTCACAAGCAACCACAGTGATGTCATTTATGTTCTTCCAGGAAGTCCATGCAGGGACCTAGCTGTCCGCGGTTCTTATCCATTAGCTATCAAACAAACCCGAGTACATTGTTTATATAACATCTAATGTGTATAAACAAGAATGCTCGTGGGTTCGATATCTATGGAACAAGTTACTTGCGGTCATCTGGCCTTCTGTCTTATCCCCAAGGACTATCCACTTTCTTGTGGAGGATAGTTTTACCTATACCTTATAGACCATTATAAGAATGGCGTCGACGAGCGCGAGCGGCGGATGATAGAGTAGAAATACTCGG